TTCCCTTCACCTGAAGGCTAACTCTCACTTTAGTTTTTAAACACTAAGACCAAATTGGGGACTTTAGTCTGTCACCCTAAAGATTCTCCAATTCTACACCCAACAAAGAATATTCCCTTATTTATTTGCACTTAATTTCTTGAACAAATTTCTCCTTCATGAAATCAAATGTGACCCTCACTCTGTTGTAGAACTCATGCTCTATTTCCCAGATCATATGTTTCACAATATATTTTAACAAATCAATTGGCCATATTGAAAAGTAAATTAAGTTCGGAGTTGAAAAATCATAACAATTTATTTTATATTTTAATTATGGCACATTCATTTTATCTCTTCATTTCACCATATCTCAGAGTATGGGGAAAGATAGAGGGAACTACTCAGACTTCATGAGAAAGATACGACGAAATATAAAAGAAAGTTTATAAAACACTAAATAAACAAACAAACTTATCTTGAATTCTTTCTCAAAGCAAATCCTCAATCTTTTGTAACCTTTCCTTAGAAATGCAGGAAGAATAACTCTCTCACTTTTCTCCTTCTCCTACACTCTTACAGAAAGTTTCACACTAAATCTCACCATAAAAACTCTAAACTTTGAAAGCAAAATCACTAATTGACTCCAATATGGTGGTGGAATGAAGATGGATTATGAAAATGTGGCGTGGTGGAACGTTGTGGAGCGAATAATGAACATAGAAGAGCCCATTTTCTGATGAAATTCAGCCCCAAATAAAGCCTACGGTCGGTTCTCCAAGAGGTGCCTCCAAAAACTCTTTTGAAATCATCCAAAAAAATTGAATCTTCTAGAAATGGGAAATCTTCTAGAAATGGGGCCTGACCCGCCTTTGGCGCCGTCGACGCTGAGTAAAAATTCTCCAGCTTTCAGTTGTTCTGCGCCGTCGGCGCTTATCTTGGCGCTGCCGGCGCTGAATTGTTTGTTATAAGAGGGAGGCTAAGTTTATTTGCCTCATCCACGTCATTTTGACTCCAAATTTCATCCTTTTTGCTTTATTTT